CATACTCAAATCTGGGAGGCAATAAGTGTTGTTCTTCTCTCTTAATAGCAGCAGATGCAAGGTGCAGAGCTTACCATTTACTTTGGAGGAGATATCACGACTGGGCTCCTCAGGTCTTCATTGGAAGACCACTGTATTTTCATGAGATATATTTTTTATCCATGGCATACATGGTTTTCTAAGGTATCAAGATTACATGCTATTTAGTACTCTCCAGATCTTATCTGCATCAATGTGAAGAATCTCTGTGGTATCCTGTGGAGTAAGTATATTATCAAACTTTACAGACTAAATTGTGGTAACGAGCTAGGAAGTCATACAATGTTGAGGGAAGGTGGTGACAATGCAGTACTCTCCCTGCCAGGTGAAAGCAAGTGCCCCTGGTATTTTCTATTTATCGGGAATGGCAAAGCTTTTGTTAGAAAAACTGTTGCATCCAAAGTGGCAGAGTCTGCTTTTATTTATTTTAATAGAGAGACTATAACTTAAAAAGCATCTAAAATTAAGGTCATGGCTTGGTTGAGTTTAAGAGAATGCGATATCATTCTTCAGAAACCATCTTTCCTTTGCACTGACCAATCAGCATGATAATAGTTTCCTTAGGGAGAATGTGTTAATTATGAAACAATTATTACAATAAATATGAATGTTTTGCTCTATATCCTCAGAGTCTTTGTGTGTCTATCACAGGTAAGGCTTAATAAATGAGTGACTCAATGAATAGGAAGATGATGATAATTCAGTATGAGTGATGAGGAGCTTGACCATATTCTAGACTGGCACTTTAAGATAACACTGTCATGTTAACTTTCTTTTAAGAATTAAAGTAAATAGATACCAGATATTGTATAATTGGTTGGGCCCTAAGGAGTAGTTTAAATGTTATGATACTGTTAATCACCTTATTTGTGGAGAAATATTCTAGAGCAGATCTGTCCAGGAGAAACATAGTGTGTATCACGTGTAAGTTGAATTTCTAGTAGCTCTATGTAAGGAAATGTTTTAAATATAAAATTAATTTTAATAATATATTTTATTAACTACAACTAAATATTATTATTTTAAATGTAATCAGTACAAATTATTGGTATTTACATTTATTGTTTGTTCACACACTTTAAAATCTGATGTGCACTTTGCAGTTATAGCAGATCTCAGTTCAGATGAGCCACACATCAGTGCTCAGTAGACACAGGTGGCTAGTAGCTATCTTAATGGACAGCACAATTCTAGAAGTTCCATGAATAGAGAAATTCCAAGAAAAGGAGTAAAATGCGAGAGGTCTCTTAGTTTAATGTAAAAAGTTTAATGGTTTATTAATGGACACAATAACTGTTGCTGCACATCTCTTTTTTCCTTTTTTTTCTGTCATATTCTTCCAGTAGAGGTGGGTGAGATATATGCTTGGCAGAGCAGATAAAGGAAACAAAATACCCTTGACTGAGGTGACTTGGTTGTACTGGCCCTTGCAGCTCAAAAGCAGGCCATCTGTAGCACGACTTCTGTGCCAGAGGCTGCATGGAGAGGTGTAGCAGCAGCTATTACACACAGCCACCTGCCACACTTCCAAACCACAAAATCAACAAAGAGCATTCCTCCCCTGACACCTCTATCTTTGCCCGAGGCACCATATCCTTCCCAATCTCTCTCCCTCCCCAGCCAAGTACAAAGCTCTTTTCAAATGACAGAGGCTCCAAAAGGACCTGTGTCATCTCCTTTCCTACCATCTGTGCCCAACATACTGCTGACCCTCACATAGCTGCTCTCCTTGTTGTCTCACTGTGAACAAGCTTTTTCCTAGTCCATCCTTTAGCAGCAGCATTACAGCGACTAGAGTCTAGTGGTTAAAGCGTGGGCCTGGGAGAGCAACACACCTGACTTCAAGCCCTGTTTATACCTCTTGAAAGCTGTGTGATCTTGAGAAGTAAATAAAACTCTGAACTACAGTTGCCTATAAAGTTAGTTATCTACTTCATAGGATTATTGTGAGACTGCTATAGAGTTACTGTGAGACTCAACTGAGACAATGGGTACAATGCATTTAGCATAGTATCTGGCACACGGTGAGCAATTAATTAATTGGAAACTCGCATTTTTAGACTATTTCCTCAATCTAACATTCTTCCCTACTCCTGGCCACCTGTCTAAATCCTGGTCATTTTTCAGTATTTCTCAGGTTCCACTTCTTCTCTAAGCCTTCTACAAACTTGATTCTTTCCTTTTAATGTGTTTCTTAAGAACTCTGACATAAACAATGCTGGGATTAACCTCTAGTACAGGATACATACCTGTCATGTCTAATTCTTTGATTGACGACAAAAAGAACACACACATACGTGCGCGTGCACACACACACACACACACACACACAGTATATATGTAGTAGAAGCTGCCCACGCCCCACTCCTCCTCCCCTTGGCCCTTCTGAGTTGGCTTGCAGCTCTGAAGGACAGTTTTACCACGCCCACTGGTTCCTCGGAAGGTCCCCAGCAGGCGGGAGTCAGTGCTGCCCACAACAGCATCCCACTTGTTAGCGTGCCCTTTACTGCTTTGCCTCCTTCCCTGGATCACTTTTCTCACACCCACTTAAGCTTCCTGGAATCACTTCTCAAATTAACTATTTGCATCAAAGTTCTCGTCTCAATGTTTGGTTTTGGTGAAACCCAGATAAGACAGGAACTAACATGACCGACTTCACACTCTATGTCAGGCATTCTGCTTTCACCATCTTTCATATTCTCCACATTCTTATGAACCTGGGTATTCTTATACCCATTTTATGGTTACAAATTAGAAAACCAAGACTCAAAACAATTAAGTGACTTGTTCAGGGTCATAAATATATTAAGTAGCATATCCAAATGCTTCTTTAGGTGTCCATCTCCAAATTAATAATGGTATGGAAAAGAAATAAAACATTTCAGGATAAAGTTAAACATATAGAAAATAAAGTCAGGTAAAAATTAGATCTTTTTCCTCAGTTTAGCCAAAGTGTGACAAACTAAGATTTAAAACTAAATTTAATGAAATCATGTCTGGAGACATAGATGTTGAACGCTTAGATGTCATTTAAACGCCTTATTTATAGTCCACTTTCTTTATTCTGGGAAATAAAAGTGGGAAGATATGGCAGTGGAGTGATGCCCAAATGAGTCAGATTTTATAAGAAGCTATTAGAAGATGAAATTGATTTGACCTCTAGAACATTTGAGAAAGAATTAGACAAAGGGGACTTTCCTGGGTATTTAGAGACTAAAAGGAAAGGCTTAGATGGATGAGAAAAATTGAGAAACATTTCTCTACCATATTAAAATTCTCATTCAGAATTGATTTCTTTAATCTTTCTAAGTCACATTGTCCATGTATATAAGGCTTATTGAATTATAACATCAACTGTCAAACCCAGTGAATGTGGGTAAGGAGATAGCTGGGAAAATGTTA